CGTACGTACGTACGTACATACATACATACATACATACATACATACATACATACATACATACATACATACATACATACATACATACATACATACATACATACATACATAAAAATAATCAATCTCTGCATTGTTCTGTACTGAAGATTGCGACTCCTGTATTGGCTGAGAGTAGAAGCACCCAGAAACATGGCAATTCTCACATTAGAAAAACTAAAGATTAAAATTACTGGTACACTAGACAAAGGAACCAATTAATTGCCTATTCCAGTTTTATTGATGTTGCCCGTGGCATACACAGCTGTTTTCCTTTTTTTATGTGGAACATTGTTGTTTCCTCAGCAGCAGCATTGTTTGGCTCGTCCAGAGGAGGTCACTATTGAGTTACTTTTTTTAAACTCACTTTTGTGAAAGTTGGGAAACTGGCTGGCTGGCGGAAGGTTGTTATAGAATGTTTGTGAGTCTGAATCAGAGAAGAAACAAGTCAACAGAACTTTGTACCATGTGTGGTGAAAAAAGTCGTCCTCGGTCATACAGAGTTTTCCGCAGTCAGGCAAAGGAGGGAACACCTGAGAGAGAATTTTCTGTGGCCACACTCACAATTGCCTATTCCAGTTTTATTGATGTTGCCCGTGGCATACACAGCTGTTTTCCTTTTTTTATGTGGAACATTGTTGTTTCCTCAGCAGCAGCATTGTTTGGCTCGTCCAGAGGAGGTCACTATTGAGTTACTTTTTTTAAACTCACTTTTGTGAAAGTTGGGAAACTGGCTGGCTGGCGGAAGGTTGTTATAGAATGTTTGTGAGTCTGAATCAGAGAAGAAACAAGTCAACAGAACTTTGTACCATGTGTGGTGATACAAGTTGTCCTCAGTTGTATAGAGTTTTCCGCAATCAGGCAAAAGAGGGAACACTGAGAGAGAATTTTCAGTAGCCACACTCATCTTGGAATTCCCTCCTTCTGAAGGGCTGCCTCATCCCACTGCTGTTGAGCCTATCCCTACATGATTGTATAACCAAATCACTGCCCTCCCCACTTCTCAAATTAAAATCAAAGAAAGATTAGTTCAGAATATCTGTGCATTTTGAGTGAACAGCAGAGAATGCCAGGACTATAATGTGGAAAGTAAGAACTAACACTTTTTTTTAAAGGGATGGAACACCAGAGAAGTCTAGCCTCTAGTTACATAGAGAACTAGGTACAGAATGGAATTGGCAGAACCAAGGTGAATGTAGGGTAATTTTGCACTGACACAGTCCTTTGTGAGTGCAATGA